GGGGGCTTCCCATCCCAAAGAGGGTGTATCCCTCATGTACCCCCAAATATCACCCACTTCCCTTTCTAAGGACTTTCTTAGAACGGGTACCCGAAAATGTAGAAGCCAGCGATAATTGTAGAAGCCAGCCTATGAGCCCTTTCAACCCCGAAACTTTTCAGGCCAGGCACAGTGCCTGTGGCTCCACACCCGATTGTGTCCATAGCCTCTTGCACCGTGTGCGCCTCGGAAAGGAAAGGCTGGAAGCGAAGGCTTGGATTGCTAAAGAGTTTTGTTTAGGGTCTGGGGTCTGGGGTCTGGGGTCTGGGGTCTGGGGTTCTAGGGTTCCAGGGTTTAGGGTTTAGGGCTAGAGGCCTCCGTGACGTAACCCAGCTTGGTCAAGAGCGCGCGAAGCTCCTGGACGTCGAGGACCCCGTTGTGGTCATTATCTGCAGCTGCGAACTCCGCTCTCAGGTACTGCTCATCAACCTGTGGCACACGCTTTGATCCCAAACCCTAAACCCTAAACCCACTTTGAATCCCCACAGTGGACGTCCGACAAGCATATGAGCCACATGTCTGTGCCTCCCGATATCTCTCCAAGAAATTCATCCACTCCTGGCGCCCGCTTTTCTGCACCCCAAGTTGGCGCAACAAGCAAAGTCACCGGGGATGGCCTTCATAAACAGCTTCTGAAAAAAGGGAGCTCCCAAGCATGATCCTCTTACATCCAATAATGAGGGAAAAATGCAAAACAAACATACCCCCAAGAAGCCCACCTAGTTCAGAGAACTCAGAGCCCAGTAGAAGAGGCACAGAGCTGGGACACAGTCTCCTCCCAGCTGACGGTCGCATAGCTGAACATGTCCTTGACGAGCCTCTCGATCTCCCCGGGTCTCAGAACGCAGCCCATATACCTGAGCATCAGCTCCAACTCTTCGGTGGCCACCTCACCGTCCTTAGGATGGCAGGGTCGAAGATGGAGAGCACAGGAAGCCTTGTTCAATGCTTCTGTGCAGACTTCTTGGCCCACATGACATGGCAGGTGGCGGTGTCTGTGTCGAACTTGATGAAGACACTGCCTCGGCTTTGCAGCTTTTTCCTACCCGCTGTGGAGTTTGGGGTTTAGGGCCAAAGTTTAGGGTCTTCTTGCCCGTCTCAGGGTGTTCAGAACCTATGGCTGCGCCGCTCACAACAAAGGCAGTCGAGGACTCGCGGCCATTCATTTCGAGCCGAGGACGTGCAAAAACTTGGGCATCTTGGGCCCAAATCCCGGAATTCTTCCGGGGTTCTGAAGCGTTTAGACCCTATAGCAATCTAAACCCCCCTATCACCCCTAAAACGTTTTATCACGTTTACAGCAAGCCACGGCATTCCTCGTCACTCCAGGGGAAGTCGAGCTCGTCGTTGCCTCCATCATCCCCATCTTCTTCGAGGTTCTTCAAGAACGCCTCAACGAGCCGATAACGTGCTTGCTGCCTTTTATTCTTATACCATAACCATGATTCATTCATTAAGTTGAGGGGACCTGGTGACCACCTGGTCCCACCCCACACTCAACTCCTCGCCTCTGCCACAGAGGATCGGCGAACTGGCTGGTTGTTGGAATCGAGCAAAGGTAGCATCATTGCCTCAGGTCTCCACGGCCGGAGCTTGTTGGGAATGCGCCGTATAACATGTTCGTTCCTAAGCCCTTTTGCCCAAACCCTGCGGCTGATGCCTTGCTTAGCAGGACAAGGCGCAAACGCTGACATTCTGCGGGTCAGGCCTGATGTCCGCTTGGAGTAAGCCTGCCTCTTGCGCTCCTCTTCCTCGCTGTCGTAGCCCAGATCGCTCGAGGAATCCTGGAAGGACGACTTGTGAGCCAAAGGCAAGCTGCACATGTTCTTCGATTCCATGTAAAAGATGCACAGATATTTCCGGCCAAGGCACGCTTGAGGAGTCCGAGGAAAAGGAAGAGCTGGAATCACTGGAGGCCGTCTCCGAGACCACCGACTCTTTCCGGTTCGGCGTGGGCTCTTCCGGCTCGGGGTCCTCGAGGTCGACGGTGTCCACCCGAAACTCATGGGCTTCCACGCCGGCCCAACCGGCGCGCTTCCGGTTCTTCGAGGGCGGCCGGTCGGTCTTCGTGGCCCCTGGGGAGCGGCCATGCCTCGACGCCGGCTTGGTGAGGAGGCCCTGCAGCCTCTTCTTGCCTTAGTAGTCCGGTATCCTACCGGACCCTAAAGGTTCACCTTGGAATTATTAATAGGGATTCTAAGGCCCTTGGGATTATAAAGGGATTCTAAGGCCCCCAAAAAAGGGTTACCTACTCCACTACGAAGTGGCTGTGCTTCACGGGGAGGCGTGGGCCTCCCCGGTAGGGCCCAGAGCCGCCGAAGGCCGGGTTCGAGCGCAGGCTCCCGCTGCTCATCGCCGACAGGCTCTGGTCGGAGAACTGCATGCTCCTTAAGAGGGACCAAAAAAGGGAGCCTAAATTATAGGGTTCAGGGTTCATACTAAAGTATTACCTGAAGAGGAATTGTATGTAGTCTATAGGGTCTAGGACCCCCAAATTTTGGGGGGTTCGCTTGCTCCCCAAGGCTCTGGATAGAATGCATGATGCGGCTCAAAGAGGGCAGTCCTGAGTTGTGCTTTTCACCCTTTCAAAATTACCTATGAATAGGCTCCCTTATAAAGAAAACAGGGGGGGGGGGTAAAAAAAATAAACAAATCCCAAAGCACAAGCCCTAAACCCTAAACCCTAAACCCTACAAACCCCAAACCCGAAACCCTAAACCCCTAAACCCTACAAACCCTACAAACCCCTAAACCCTAAACCCTAAACCCAGAGTCGTGGCGGAGGCGTCGCTTTGGCTCCCGGCTGCTCCCACTCGACACCTCGCTCGAAGGCCATGAAGGGCAGCCGCTGGCTTCCCCGGCCGGCGACCTCGGGCTGGGATTCCCTAAATAGCTACTTGAGATACCTTAGCACAGAGTCACATATATATATATATATATATATACACAGATATTTAGTATAGTGATGTAGTAATATAGTGACATAGCAGTGTAGTAATAAGAGGTACCAGGCTATGTCGAAGAAACAGAACCCCATGTCCGGTGCTGCCAAGCAGCTGCGCCTTTCTTGATATCTTTGATCGAGAAAGTCTTGGCATGGAGGTCCACGGAGCAAAGCTGCAGAGGCGCGACATACCTTGGGGACCAATTTTGAACCTTAAGCTTAGGGTCTTTATATGGCTCATATCTTACCTTAAACAGGAGTTGTAGTAGCGTATAGGGTACATGACCCCAATTTTCGGGTTCCTGTGGTGCTTCGCAAGGTACGCCTTCTTGATGTTAGGAAGGCTGCTCGACTTCCCGAGCCTGCGCTGCGGGCTCCGCGACTTCCTCGACCTCATGGCACTTTGGCCGCATCCGCGCTGGCATCATGGCCGAGCAAACCGTGGCTGCGGGGATGTCAACTTCAAAAGAGCAGGCTCTAGATCTTCTAGCTGCTGGCCGTCTCCAGAAAGCACCAAGCTCAAGATATACGTGCTGTATATATTATGCTATACATTTGATACATCCATCTCTCATACACGTATATATATATATACAAATACATATACATCAACTATATATATATATATATATATATATGATAGTAGTTATATATATATATATAGATACTGATATTATACCCCTCACGGGGCAATTGTGCATGATCTCTGCTGCTCCTCCTCCTTCTCCAGGAGACGGATCTCTCGGTCGTCCTGCCTGGCAAATGAGGCTCATGTGCGGGTTTATTTAGGGTTTATAGGGTTCAGGGTTTCTAGGGCTTAGGGGAGAAAAGGGGTTCAGTAGCGCAGCTAGAATGCTGTCTTGGCTCTTAGCCCATAGCTTTCAAAGTCACACAGACAGGTTAACAGGGTTTTTGCATGGGTTTTGTTGTGTAGCTCGCTGTCCCACAACTCCCCGCCACTCCCGCAGTGTGAAACAGGGCGTGCATCATGACGCTAGAGCCCGCGATATCATCTTCATAACTGTGCACTACTGTGCAGAGCGTGGGCGGTCCAAGAACAGATCCATGGGCACACTCAGCGTAATCCTGTGTGCGCCGCGCGCTGCAAGTTGTTGGGCAAAGCGAGCGTGCTCGCAAGAAAAGGCCTGGGCCTTGGGAGCTCCAACGATGCATTCTCGATCCGGGAATCTGCATACCTTAAGAACCTACAAGACTTAGATAGGGATATTCTAACAAGAACCTACAAAAAACAGCAGGTTTGGGTTCTTGAGGTATACAGTACACTGTTTGCAAAGCGACTTTCATAGAGATTGGAGCAGTAGTTAGCAGGTACATCAGCGGGTGGGCTTCTGAAGCCTCCAATGTTGCTCAAGACCAGCCAGCGCGACTCTTCCTTCCAAGCCCGCTGTTTTGCCTCGAACTTTGCCCAGGCGTGGGCCAATGACGCGGAGCACACCTGCCGAAGTTTGCTGGCTTCCTAAAAAAAAACTTGGGGGGGCGGGGGCGAGCAGGCGGCGGCAGCTTTTGTTCGTCCTCTTGCTCTGTGCTAAAGGGGGCTGCTCCTTTGGCAGTCCGACCAGCCGCTATCACTTTGGGGCGCGCAGCAAGCCAAACAGGCTCACCACATCCATGGGCGATAGCCGATGCGGATGGCCGCTCTCCGCTGCAGAGGGGTCAGTCTGCTCCAACTGACTGTGGCCTGAACGGGGGGCTTCGACCACAGCCCATGGCCTTCAACTTATTGCACCGGACTCTGAGCAGCCAGGAGGCCAAGGCACTTGGAACCTCTTCATTCCTCAGAGAGAGTGATTTTGAGTTTCTGCGCTTTATGAGGACGAGCCATGATGCTGCTTTTTTTGTAGGCGGGAGGCAGCGTGGCTCGGTTGAAGCCCAACTCTCGCCTTAACTGCTTCGAGCTCTGGCTGTCCCCCAGGATTCGGTGAGAAAGGTTTGATCCTACTGAGGACGAGGTGCCAATCCCGCTGCTGGCTCTGGGCCAAGCAATCCCACAACTGAAAGTGGGGAGATCCTGATCTGCACAGGATGATCTCCGTCAGCTCCCCTGATGCGTCCTGAGGTGCTCTTGAAACGAGTGAAGGAAAGATCGGTGCAAGAGGATGGCTTTCCTTCGAGGGCACTTGGCCATGGCTCCCTGGATTGCAGCTGTGGCGAAGGCAATGCGGCCAGGTTGCGTTCCACGTTTCTTCCGCGAAACCCACGCAGGCGGCTGCTTCCTGCTCCTTGGCTGCCAAGGGGTTTTCGAAAAAACGAGAGCTGTCGCAAGTGGTGTTCTCTATCGTCGGCTCCTCATGCGCCCTGCAAAAAAACATGCGCCGAGCGGCAGCAGAGCTCAGCTGCAGCCACGTCTTAAAGCTCGAGGCCGGCTTCCTGGCATGTCTTTTAACAGTTGTTGTCGTGCTCTTCTTACGATGAGAGCCCGAAGTTTGATAGAAAGCCCCGGATTCCCTCAATTTTGCGATGCCACTAATGTGACGAGCGTTGCAAAGAGCCCGTGATGTCGGCTCCTCGCTTGCCGCGCCCAGGAGAGCGACCTCCAGCCGAGTCTGCCCCAGCAGCGGCGTGCCTTTTTCGTCATGCCTGTCTGCGGCTCAAGGTCGGCATTAATGCATCCCTAAACCCTAAACCCTATTGGTCGCATTCACAGAACAAGCCTCCGGCCTTGCCAGTGTTGAAACAGGCTTGGAACAGTGTCTGGCAGGGGTGGCCAGAGATTGAGGCAGGATTCTCCGCAATGCTCCTGACGGCACGAAGGCTCAACGGACTAAGCGCAACATGGCCCTTCTTGTGGCGGGTTCTGGCAGTTCTGGCTGGCACCTAAGCCCTATAAGCGGCCCACAAAGACCCTGAACCAAATCTGTGCCCCTGCCACCAAGGTGCATCTCTCCATGCGTTCGGAAGCTCATCCTCACAGCCCGGGGAGTGCACAAAATGGGGGGCAAAATCCTTTTCAAACGGTTATCAGCTGAGCCACGCAGAGCGAGTACCTTGGGGGATGGCCAGGGTGCCCTATGCGACTCACAGTTCTGCACTCAGCACGCAATGACCTGGCACATCTATGGCGGCCCTTTTTGCCTGCCCCCCTTTGCGAGTTGCAGTTCCTTGTTGAAGTAAGGCCAATCATCGTTTGCTGCCGTGTGAGGTCTTCCAGCCAAGACCTCTGCTGCAGGGTCCACTGCCCCCTCAAGAGCCAGCCTTGCCACAATCCTTCTGGCTGACTTGCGAGACCTTGCTGCCGAAGAGGCTTGGTGCGCAGCACGCGCGCCAGAGACCACGGCAGCCTGCGTTGCTCGAAGCATCCGCTTCTGCACACTTCTCGGCACACGTCCGAGTGACGTCCTGGACTGGCACTGGACTCAACAACGGGCCTGCACTGTGCCATACATCAGGCGACAGGTGTGCTCGCCGGCGAAGGCCAAGCCTGGAGTGCTCAGCTTGCAGTGACAGAATGTGTATAAGGACTCTATAGTACTGTAGTACCCTTTAGCGCTTGGGGGCTTGTTTTTGCCACCCGCCTAGCCAACAACGTTTGTGATACTCCGCAGGGACGAAATCGAGGAACACACGCATTTCGTGTCTGGTTTCAGGGCTCAGGGCGTCTTGGGGATTGTGGGGTTGCTTAGGAGAACTGGAAAAGGCATCTGTCAAGGCTGCGATTCCAGCCAAGCGTCGTGGCTTGGGCTCGTAGATGCTGAAGTCTTGGCTGCTGGAGCCCACCTGCTTGCGAGAGTTGCTTCAGGGCTTTCCTTGAAAGCTCGTTCAAACGCAGCCGCCTTCCCGCAGGTCCATGATCCCAGAACCTGATTTGCATCTGTCGTTCTGATATGCCTTTTTGCTGAGCTTTCTCTTTGCTGCTGAGGGACGAAAGGGTCCCGGGAGAACGACACCAGCAGCACAGCTTCTACAGCCGTCGGCTGCATCTGTGGGAACCTTAGCATACTCACAGCTCCTTCACTTGACCAGGAAACCCTCATTTGACCAGCCATAGCCAGCCCAGCTGCATCTGCAACAGCTCTTCCACAACACGGGCCCGCAACGCCTCCTGGCTCTGGTTCAACTTCAGGGCCTCCCAGGGTTTAGGGTTTAGGGCTTAGGGTTTAGGGAAGATTGATTCAGGATGATTCAGGTCGCTCTCACATCAGGACTTCTGTGAGCTTTCGGGGGCTCCGACCCCTCACTCCACCCCCCCCTCCCCCGCTTTCAAGACCCGTGAAGCGTAAGCTCAAGGGGTCAGACTCACAAGTGGACACCTGAAGCTTCAATACGGCTAAAAGGCTGAATCCTGCAGCGTCATCAAAAAACTTCCAGAACAAAAGGGTCGACTAGCTTTTCAGAACATGATGCCTTGGGTTTGTTTTTCATCTTTCAGGTCTAGAGGAAATGGATCGTCATTACCCTGCCTCTGCAAAGGACGGGCCGGACAGCAAGCAAGTCAGTGTCCTTTGCTCGGCACATTCTCAGTGTGTGCGTTTGGCTCGACTCTTTGTTGAGAACAATAATCAGAGACACCAACGTTCCGGCAAGGCACACTGAAGGAACGTTGGCGGCTGCGGTTGCGGCTGCTTCCCCTAGGGAATTTTTTGGGCTTATAAGCCTTTTTTAATGGGTTTTTTCTTTAACCACCCGCCGAGAGCCGAGGTTTATAGGGGCGCCGAGGCACGGATGCAATAATAGAGGAGGCTTCGTGACGTCTGCGATACCAACTGAGAGATCAAGTACGTGCCACTGCCTGCGCGAACAGGTGTAGGAGGTTCACTTAATGAGGTTAAGCTTTCTGCAAGAACTCGCCAAACAGCTTAGCCTGTGGAGGCCTAACCACACTTAATTACGACTTCATGGGCAGCTTTGCCACGCTTGCAATCTCTTCAGGCAAGTGGCCCATGGGAGATTCCCCAACTTTAAATTTTATGAACAGCTTGGCAACGTCCCCCATCTGAAAGCCTCGAAACGACGCAACATCAACGCAGCTCGCGCAGCTAGCCCATGAAGGCTGATGGCATCTCGCACAAAGAGCTTGTCTGCTGCGCAGGCACGGTTCAATGAAGCCTGATGACAGAAGCGCTATTTTCAAGGCGATAGAGCACAGCACACATCAGCAAGCCATCTTCCCTCCAAGTGCAGCAAAGCCGCATGGAAGGCACTGGACAGCGGTGGCTGGAAATGGATCTTCTGCTGAAGGACCGTCAGGGGAACGGTGACGATCACAGCTTTGCCTTCTGACATCTTCTGACCGGTTGCAAGGTTTAGACTCGAATAACTACCGTAAATCTGCACCTTAGATACATGTATGTATAGAAATAGATATACATGTGTATGCATATATATATATATACATGAACCTTAAAAGGGTTATATAATTCTGTTGACCATACTATCCTAAGATATCAGGCAGAAAATGCTAGACTCATGTGCTTCCACCCTCGAGTTGCTACGGCGCGTGCCTAACCCAATGCACCTGAACAAATTTCAAATTTGGCGTGCTCGGCTGCGTGCTTCTTTGCTTTGTCGAACATGCGTACTTGATACAAAGGCTTGGCTTCAACATGCTCGCCAAGCTGGCAAAAAAACATGTCTTGTTGTTGAGCGTCTTCTGGAACCTGGAACCTTTCGGCTTTCAATATCTAACACGGCACAAGGAAGAACGGCGAGCGCAACCAGTTTGGGCTTCGTGACCTTGGGGCCTTGGACCCCCGTGCACGCAGCATCATAGTAGCTTGCACCGATCCTTTGGGCTTTCAAGACGTGACTCCCCAAACCCAAGAACAAGCAGACACACATACATGCACGCACCCACGCACCCACCCACACACACACACACACACACACACACACACACACTCTCTCTCTCTCTCTCCCATGAATGCATGTGTGCGTGTCATGCGCAGCATGTGCCTTGATAGGTCGCGCTGGACGTGTGCACCGTCACCGAATCCTCGAGGGAGATGGAGGTGGCCGCAGTGTGGAAGCGCACGTCCAGGCCCTGCGCCAACTCCCGCACCAGTGCGCCTTACATGATGCAGGGAAAGGAGAAAACCCACGCAGTTACCAACTTTGGAGTTTTGTGTCTGCAGTGTCTCCGGAGGAATGAGAAGCAACAAAAACACCACTGCTTTCACTGCATGCTGAGGCTCTGAAGCCGCCAGCCCTTGCAAAGAGAGCAGACATCATGTCCATGAATACACACTGACACTATGGCAGAGCCCTCTCATTGAACCTTATAAGGGAAACCCTAAGCCCTAAACCCTATAAGTATAAGGACTTCAAAAAAGCTTGAGAGAGGCAAGTCGCAGCTTGGCATCACCTCTCATGTCCTTTCGGCATGGCATGCTTCTGTCAGAAAGGCAAAAGCTAGGCAAAACGGGCTTAGGGTTTAGGGCTTAGGGTTCAGGGTCTTTTTGCTTAGGGGTTAGGGGTTTAGGGCCAACTCAGAGTTCGACCCAAGAAGCAGAAGAGTCTCTCCAAGATGGTGGCGCATCGGGCATATCCTCCACCTGTTTTTTGGGTCATGCTCTTCAGGAGTCTTTATGCACAATTGGAAAACACAAGGGATGGCGCTGATGCAGGACATCACTCCCATCTCCTGACATTGCCGCTGCGCCACCTCGGAATAGAAGACGCCTGAGCGCGACGGTGCTTTCCTCCCTCGCACTCCCGCACTCTTTCTGCACATGAAGAGCTGCCACTGTTGCTTTGCTAAGCCCTAAACCCTAAACCCTAAACCCTAAACCCTAAACCCTAAACCCCAAACCCTAAACCCTAAACCCTAAACCCTAAACCCGAGCCGGGCGTCTGTACATGGCCAACTCCGCCAGTCTTGAGCCCACCTGCTCCGCGCTGGTGCCCCAGTTCTGCTCGCTGCGAACACGCAGCTGCCACTCCAGCAGCGGGTCCTGGTTACGGTGTGCGTTGAAATTCTATGCTCCCCTTAGAACCTTAATAATAGTAATAATAATAAATAATTAAATAATTCCCAAGGGGGATATAGAATGAGGGACCTGAGCACTCTGCTCTGCCAATTTCTACTGGTACCATGGTCAGAGCCAAGCGACGAGACTTTGGTTCATGATCAGCTCCCATGCAGATCCTTGCTTGCCAGTGGCGAATAAGCGAGAGGTCGCAGACTGAGCGGGTGAAGAACAAAGAGTCTTCTCACTTGTGTGTAATATATGATGCTTCTATTCTTGTACTCTTCATCCCCCTAATACGAACACACCCCCCCACCCCCGCAAATCTAAAATTCGCCTCGGCCGGGAAAACCTTATCCGACACCTAAAACCCAAAGCCGAAATCGAGAGTCGCAGCCTTTTGCAGAGATTCAGCTCCAGTCAGCCCTTTAGCCTTAAGCCCTAAACCCAAATTGAACCCTCTGAGCCCCTAAACTCAAGGGCGGAGGCCCTCAACCGCCCACCCCCCCTAGTTCTCAAACAGGTCTAGTATAGGGCTGGGTGCCGGGAGGGTCCGCTAAAAATACTATTTCAAAGCAGGGAGGGGTTTAGTATTTGTAGGAAGCCATTACGCTTCAAAATAACTCTACTAAATGATACTCATATTGCTGTGACATTGTGTGGCAGGCCGCTGAGTGATAAGTCGGCCCCCTTCTGCGCGAGGATCCAACCCACCTTCTGGTCGAACAGCACTTTGGCTTCGGCATAGTGCCTGAAAGCCTGCTGGGCTTTTGATGCAAACAGCCGCTGCAAGAAGCCTTCGCAGATATATGATAGGCTGTCATGTTAGCATGTCAAAAGTCGGCAGCCTCTGCTTTCAGGGTGTCGTTCGCTCGCTGCAAGTGAAGCAGGCGATGCTTGCTGTAGGGCCCTTGGCCGGGAACGATTCTGCTTCTGTCCACAGCGCCGTGTCGCATGCTTGCAGTTGTTAGATACCACGCGCCCAAACGACGTGACTTGAGTTTGGTGGCGGCCTTCGAAGTCAGTGTTGCCGCCGATCTGCTCCAGAGACAAGTTGAAAAATCGAGTCAGCGCCATGATTGGAACATTCTCTTCCTGAGTTCACGGGTTGACTGCAGTGACTGCAGTGGCAAGGACCCTAAACCCTAAACCCTAAACCCTTCAAGGTCCGCGCAGAGCACCTTACTGCCGCAGAGCTTCGCCACCATGAACCCACTGCGCGCCTGCATCTCTTGCTCTCCCTGCCCTTCCAATCCCTTTCATACAACAACTGTAACCCAACCCTTCTGTAACCCTAAACTTTAAACTCTTCAACCCTGAAGCCCTGAAACCCTCAAACCCCTTAAACCCCTTAAACCCCTTAAACCCATTAAAACCCTATAAACCCTTACACCCCTGAATCCTCCTTCAAAGAGGCCTGCGTCGAAGCCTCGGAAGGGCCCCGTCTCAATCGCGGAGGCTCTTCCGCCGACGCGCCCACTCGCTTCCAGAAGCAGCACCTCACCTTGGCACTCCGCGCAGTGCTCCGTCCCATCTGAAGAGGGGAGTTGTCTTGTGCCTTCATAGACAACTCCTAGAACCCTGAAGCAGACATTTTTCCAAAAACATCTGTTTCCCGACTAAGCCGCATTTCAAAAACTAACAAAATACACCCCAAACCCTCAACTACCCTAAACTGACCCTCCAAGGAAACGCCAGGAGGTGCGTCAGGGCCACAGCCGGCCCTCCGAAGCGTCTGGGCGGCCGTGAGCCCCGCCAGCCCGGCTCCCAGCACCAGGATCCGGCCAGCCGGACACACCGAGGCGCACCTCACTCGCGCGAGTTTTTGTGTGCGTGTTTTTTTTGTAGTCTGGGGCGCCTCTCTCTCTCGAATCTCTCGAATCTCTTTGGGGAGAGAGTTCCTGGTGACTAGAAGAAGAGGGATTCTATCCGTTTTTGGCAGGTGGTACTATTAGGAAAAACTCCCAACTTCGACTCTCATTGGCAAACTTTGAGGTGATTCTGCTTCGACGTCGTCGCCTCTCTAACCCGCCTGTTTTTTAATGAGCCCAGAAGTGGACGATGAATCGCTGTGTGGCCTATGCCTATAAACCCCTAAACCCCTAAACCCCTAAACCCCTAAACCCCTAAACCCTAAACCCCACCAGTTACCCCCCTAGGTTGGGTAGAGGAAAGCCCCTCCAATGGCTCCTGGGGCACCCGGAGCGCGCCGGATCGGCGGGGCAGCTCCCAGCCTGCCACTGACTTTTTGGCCAGGCGTTAGAGGGGTTTAGGGTTAATGGGGTTAAACGGGGTTTGGGGTTTAGGGTTTATAGGGTTTATAGGGTTTATGGGGTTTGTAGGGTTTATAGGGTTCATAGGGTTGATAGGGTTTATAGGGTTTATAGGGTTTATAGGGTTTATAGGGTTTATAGGTTATAGGGTTTATAGGGGTTTAGGGTGTTTAGGGTTGAGAGGGTTTGTAGGGCCTAGGGTTTCGACTTTTTGTGCACTTCTGGATTTGCTTCTCGGGTTTCTAGGGCTTCTTTTGCCACCTGCCTGGCAGCCCCGCGGTTCCCTTTGGGTGTAGGGCTTAGAGGGGGTCATGCGAAGCGAGTGCAGAAACATGACATACTGATACGCTGGCACAACATCGTACAACATTGAGGCCTCCGCGCCAAGAGTCGACTGGAGCTGCAGCCTGCAGAATATAGCCGGCTTAATGATTGAAGCTGTTTTGAGGAGGCATTCATGGCCATAATAGCTTTGAATTTGTTTAGCTCGTGCATGTCTGCTTGAAACTGAGCCGCCATGGCAACGCGAGCAGCCCAAACGCTGCTGCAGTTCCAATCTTGACCTTCTCACTCACTTCACTCACTTCACTCACTTGCCACTGCATGCCTGCAACGGGCCACTGCATGCCAAACCAGTCCGAGATCTGCAGCTAAGTTACGGCGCCGCAGCGCATTGGCATAGTCCAATGCCATTGCGGACATCTGTCTCGCAATCCATCTAAAACAGCGAGATGCTGTAATGCTATCAGCCTTTTGAGACATTGGTTCACTTGCGACTGATCACACTGATGTGGAGGCCGCATGCTTCAGTCGCCAGCTGCGGAGGGTTTAGGGTTTAGGGTTTAGGGTTTAGGGTTTAGGGTTTAGGGTTTAGGGTTTCGATTCTTTGCAGGACACCTGGGAGCCCGTGTCTCTGGCCCTGACTCTGATGCCCGGTCATCCCAGGCACGAAGCACAAGTCGCTGGCGAGTCGCGTGCCATCTTTATGGCGCGCAGAGGGCAAATTTTGTGTTTCTGCTCAGCGCACGAGAATCAGATAGTTCAGAAAGGGTGGCGTCGTTCCTCGGAGTGCTGGGAAAGCAGGAAACCCACCGGCCAGAAACAAAAGACACATGGACCTCAGCAATGCCGGAAAGAGGGCGAGAATGTTCAGTGCTGAAAAGGCTCCGCCTGGCTTTGGGACCGCGTAGTACGGATTCCTTTGACACTGAACTCGTCGACCCAGTTCTTGGCAGACCCCAACGACCACCTGCGCAATCACGCTTCTCACGCACTTAGGACGTCGCTTGGAGGCAGAGAACATGGAAAGCCTCTGAAAGCCCATCTATAATCTAAAAATATCCCATACTATGTATATACATATATATATATATATATGATTCAGCCCCGGCGGGCCCCCCCCCCCCTCCCCCCTACCCCCCCCCCCCCCCCCCCCCCCCCCCCCCCAATGGTACCCCCCCCCCCCCCTGTGGTGTGGTTGGGGGTTTTGGTTTTAGGGTTTTAGGGTTTAGGGTTTAGGGTTTAGGGTTTAGGGTTTTAGGGTTTTAGGGTTTTAGGGTTTAGGGTTTAGGGTTTAGGGTTTAGGGTTTTAGGGTTTAGGGTTTAGGGTTTAGGGTTTAGGGTTTAGGGTTTTCCCCGCGGATGGGGTACTAAGATGATCCCCCCCCCCCCTGTGGTGTGGTTGGGGGTTGGTTTTAGGGTTAGGGTTTAGGGTTCAAGGTTTTAGGGTTTAGGGTTTAAGGTTTAAGACTTAAGGTTTAGGGTTTAGGGTTAGGGTTTAGGTTTAGGGTTTGGGGTTTAGGGTTTAGGGTTTAGGGGTTTAGGGTTTAGGGTTTAGGGTTTAGGGTTTAGGGTAGGGTTTAGGGTTTAGGGACCGTAGAGTAGGCTTGGGGGGGGGGGGGGGGGATACCATGGGGGGGGGGGGGGGGGGGCCCAGGACGCTCGACGCTGAACCATATATACACACAAATTCTTTTATGTAAAATTGTCTAAGAGAAAGTTCTAATGCCATGCAATAGCCCTGTCACTGCCTTCATCTCCTCGTCGTTGAATGTTCCGACCACGCACAATCCGGTTGAGGCGGTGATAACATTATACAGAATACGGCGCCACACATCTCTGTGAACCGTGCATTCCGGGTGAAATGCAAAGGTCAGTGATGAGGCGGGGTGCCGGATCCCTTGCAAATCCAGCTGGCAGAACTTTAGATCCATCCGCTCATACCACCGCTTGACATACTTCTCCTTTTGTCTCCAGTACCCTCCAAGCTCTGACCAATCTTGGACATCCGAGGCCAAAATCGAGATCTTGGCCACTCCTCGCTTTCCTGTACGGGTTTGGGACAGCATTCCTTGCTGACTGCGGGGCCAAGAAGGTTCCATCCAGGTGCAGGCCGAGGCGACATATATATATATATATATGTATATATATATATATATATATGTATATATGTATATATATATATATATATCCCCCCTCATGACCTCTACACATATATATATATATGTATGTAAATATAAATATAAATAAATAAATATACCTGGAACCCCGACAACCCAATTATTTTTGGTCGTTGGGTTTTTTACGGGTTTTTACGGGCGTTTAGGGGGAATTACGGGCGTTTAGGAAATTTATGGGCGTTCTGCTTTTGGCTCTTGAAATTACGGATAATTATGGGCGTTTAGTGGTTTGTGAGGATTGGTGCAGAATTATGGGCGTTCAGGGGTTTTATGGGCGTTTAGGGGTTTCCGGGTTCATCCAAACAAACAGGGCTGAATATGCCAAAAACAACAAGCCCTGAGCCCCTGAAAACCTTATCATCCCAAAGCCCTATATAAGCCCTTCACCCGAAGCCTGCAGGGATTTTGCTAACCCAAGCTTCCTCCTAAAAGACCCCTGGGACCCCACCCTGCTCAAAACCTCAAGCATTTTGGGACCCCATTTTGGCCATTGAGGTTTTTTGGGGATTTGCTTTGAAAGGGTTTTTTGGAATTTCCTGGGCCGGCCTGGCCATAAAGCCTGCAGGTTTTGTAGGGTTTTATAGGGTGTTAGGGTTCTTGCAAGGGTTTTAGGCTTCTAGGGTTTTAAGGCCTTTTTGGGTTTAGGGCTTGATGGGCTTAACGGAAAGAATCCACGCATAAAAACGCCTATAAAACACCGCTAAAAAACGGTAACAATCCATAAGTGGACTGGCGTGGAAAGGTCACGGAAAGGCTTTAGGCTCTGTGATGCCTTGAAAAAACCTTCAGATCCAACAACTCATGCAGCCCACCCCTCGAAATATAGAACCCATAATTCCACACGGAAAGCTGTGAACTCCCTACGAAAAACCCGAAATCTACGGCAAACCCCTGAAATCTACGGAAAGCCGCCTGAAATCCCCAAACCCCTGAAACTGAAGCTTGACCTACAATCCAGAGGACCCCTAAACTCTAAAGCCCTCAAACCCAGGGGCCCACGGAAACAGGGGCTTTCCGTAGACTTCAGGGGGTTTTCCGTAGATTTCGTGTTTACCGTAGGGAGTTCACAGCTTTCCGTGGAATTATGGGTTCTATGTTTCGAAGGGTGGGCTGAGCTGTTGGATCTGAGAGTTTTTCAAGGCATCACAGAGCCTAAGGCCTTTCCGTGATCTTTCCGCGCCAGTCCCAATTATGGATTTTTACGGTTTTTTACGGTTTTTTACGGTTTTTTACGGTTTTTTACGGCTTTTTTACGGTTTTTTATGGGCGTTTTTGCGTGGATTCTTTCCGTAAGGGCCCACGGAAACCCCACGGAAAGCCTAAATCAACAAGTTTACGGGCGAATTACGGGTTTTTACGGGCGTTTAATAAAGATTACGGGCGTCTGGGCTGCTATTGCCGATCCTAGCGATCCTAGCAGCTGGAAAAAACAGTCCAACTTCGCAACTGTCGTGGCAAGGGAACGAAAAATGAGGTTAACAAATCCGGTCCAATTCAACCCACACCTATACCCCAAACCCCTCGGAAGTCCTGGCTGGAGCTTATATGGTGAATAGGGCTTATATGGGTTTGTCTACAGGGTCTCCTCATATACGGTCGTGTGGCAGAACCGTTATACCCCAACCCCACCCCAACCTATAAACCCTGCAAGTCCTGAGGCTTAGGGTCTGGGGTTTGTTTCGTCTTCTCATAATAAGTGTCGCTTGTGCTTGGAGGTCGGCAGGGTTGGTGTTAAAGACTCAGAATAACCTATATTGTTGTGCTATACAGGGCTTCGAGAAAGGTTGGCTGAGGCTTAGGGTCTCTGGGGTCCGGGGTTATCAAGTCTCCTGATAAGTGTCGCTTGGGCAGGTCCATATATCGTTGGTCTATACAGGGCTTCGGGAAAGGTTTGAGAAGGATTGTGGCTCGGATTTTACAGTTGGGTTCGCCGGAGCATTCCTGTGTTCCCTCTCTAAACCCCTAAACCCTTCAACCTTGCAGGAGCTGGAAGGGGACAGGGTTCAGGCTTCACTATAAGCTTGGTGCTTGGTGGGTTGTATTGGTACATTTTATTATGCCGAATTCTCATTTCCCCGATTTTGCAAGTACGGGCGTTTCCGGTAAAATCCTAATTCTCCCCGATCTCGGAATTACGGGCGTTTCCCGTAAAATCCTAATCCTCCCCGGTCTCGGAATTACGGGCGTTTCCCGTAAAATCCTAATCCTCCCCGATCTCGGAATTACGGGCGTTTCCCGAATTACGGGCGTTTGTTTTTTTTTCGGGCGTTTCCTAAAAAACCCGGTTTTTTCCAAACAACCAAAAGTAATAGGGTCTTTGTGCGTGGGCCTGCCTAAGCAGCGGGTTGACAAGAAGTTCGCCAGGATCGGCAACTCTTGCCTTAGATGCAGAGCAAAAGGCCCAATGGAGACAAGAATGCGGCAGAAGCGCTCAAAAGGCACGGGAGAATACAAGAATAGACAACCAAACATGATGAATAGCATCCCATAAATATCATAGAATATCATATCATACTTGAATACCACACATAACCAAATGCAGTGAGAGATTGTGCATAGTGGCCTGCAGTGGGAACCAGTCGCTCAGTCCTTCAGCCACTCAGACACTCACAAGGGTCTAAGTGACTTGGTTTTATCGACTGAGTGACTGAGCGCGACCGGTTTTAAATTCGGGCCGCTGTGCACGCTCTCCTCACTTGCTCGGCTTTTCTATGATAACATTAAAATATGGTGCTTGATCTCCTAGCGCAATCACATCGGCTATACCAGTGCAATCATATGAAAGTTTACGAAAAAGAGAAAACATAAAATCATCAAGAATGTTATATGACGTTATGTAAATATGATAACTCGTGATCTACTAACATAGCACCATCATGACACACTAGAATGAGGAGCACAATAGAGAACAAAGATCAAACTAAAATAGAACACGACTACAATAACAGAACACGACTACAATAACAGAACCGCCGCGCTGTCGCTCACGTTTGGTCTTGGGATGTTCCCCCTTCTACTCACAGTTCTTAATAGGGATTACGGTACCCCCCCCCCGCCCCATTATAATCCCAATTGAGGACTTTTGGTATAAGGGGGAACATCCCAAATTTGGTCCCTCAACGACTCTGCGCCAAGTCACGAGCTTCCACAGAAGGGAAGGGCCACGAACAAAGTTCCAGTTGGATCCAGCGGCAGGCCTTCCAAGCCCCCGAGCTCTTCTAGGACCTGCAGCAGTGTCTCGCACCTGAGATGTGGGGAGTTCTTGCCCGGTTCGCATCTACTGCTGCTTCCCTTTCGGGAGCATGATGCCGACAGGTTGTGCGTATGTCTGGAGCTGTGGTTGGGGTGGGATGGGCAGCATATGTGTGGTTGCTGGAGTCAACTCGCATCACTTGTCAAGGCGTGGTCAATCTCAACACCCCAACGCCCATAAACCCCTCTAACCAACCAAGCGCACGAAACCCATCTAAAACCCAACGAAAGCCCTCTAAACCCATCCCAAACCCTATGCAAAAGCCCAAAAGAAACCCTCTCGAATCCCCCCCCCCCCCCCAAAAAAAAAAAAAAAAAAAACTCCCTAAGCCCCGGCGGCGGCTCGCGGAGGGCCCGGCGGCAGGGCGCGAAGAAGTCCTGCGGCGACTCGAAGTCTTGGCCGGGCCCATACCGGATCTCGTGGATCTGCCCGTCCAGCTCGAGGCCTTTTTTTGTTGGGCGATCTTTGGTTTGCTTTCTTTTTTGTTTGGGTTTGTAGGTTGCTGTTGCTTATTTCGTTTTAAAGTACCTCAGCCTCCTGGTACAAACAGGCAAAGAAAAGAAGACATACTCTGAAATAGGTACCCGCAGTTCCCAGACTTGGAGAGTGACAAGGATGTGCCATAACAAAAAGACGAAGCCCTGCAGCATCCTCATACATCCTCTATAAAGATCTCCCCTGAACCCTAAACTCTAAACCCCAATCAAACCAAAAACATTAAAAGAAAAAAACACCCCCTGCAGCTTCGCGTCGCGCAGGCCAACCAGCGGCCGCAGGCTGCGTCAGCAAGGCACCAGGAGGCCGAGGCCAAGCCATTTTTCTTTCACTAGCAAGAATAATGCATATAATTTGTGACTAACCGTCCTTAGTAGGGATGATAAGAATCCTGATGCAGGACTGTTAGTTTTAGGGGGAACATCCCAACATAAAATAGTCTTCGGTGGCCTTTGAGCCCAGATTTCCTGATGGAAGTTACGGCAAGGGTCGGGCTGCTTCGTCTCTTGTTTTAAGGACAGGAATGATCACAGGTACGTTTCGTGTAGAGGCGTTGCTGCCACTGCTGCTTGCATGCCCGCCCCCGTCTACACCAAGAAATATCACGGCAGCGCCTTGGCGCTCAAACGCAATCGCTGTGGGCTTCAAGGGTCTCCACAGTAGCACAATCGAACCTCCGCTTTCCGACCCTGCCTGTTCGTCTTCACCCGTCGTGTGCTCGGGCGGTGAGGGATCTGGCAAGGGCAGCGGCATCCCTGGCGGCAGGCAAAGAGCTGAGATTCATCGAAAACTCGCAGGCTCCAGAGATGCATCTCACATGGCAGTGCGGCGCTGCATTTTCAAAGGCCGAAGTAGTTTCGGCTTGATCCAAAAGACCTGCAAATTGTGGCACACTTGGATGGGCGTGGTTCCGCGACATTCTGTGGCGCCATGCCTGGTCGTCCGTCAGCCGAACCTTCCAGCGGTGGCTGTCAGCGCCATACGCTTCCAAGGTGCCGATCCTGTGAGGTCTCAAAACATGCGCCCGCTGAAGCATCCAGACGAACTAAAGATCAAGAGCTCAGAGCGGCGCATCCCATTGGTGCCTCACACGAACACGATCATGCATGTGTTTTAAGGTTTCCTCTCTCTCTCTCTCTCTCTCTGAATGTGTATATAATGTGTATCATGTATGCACACATTCATTCTTCTTTGTGCGCTCAAGGGAAATAAATGGCCCATTCTCGGCAACAATCTGGTGCACGACGATGCCATGCCCGGGCCTTTGTTCTTGACTAGCCCCTCCAAGCGCACTTGATCGTGCACCTGAGAGGGCCCCCCCCATTGTCTGCCATGGCACACCGGACGGACTATACGGAGTGCGATGGCAACTTGTTCATGGTAGCTCACATGGTGCATTCTTCTTAGCAGTAGCTCTGTGTGTGTGGCGCTTGAAAACCCAACACATCTTTCGATGCAGTGTCGGTTCACTTCTGCTTACTATGGGCGGGCTTCCGGAAATTCTGAGGCTCATGCATGCAGGATTGGCTCTCCCACGTTGGTTGCCTCTGCTTCTGCCACTGCCATCTCGGACCTGCCATCCTGGCATGTAGCTCCCACAGCCCCCCCCAAAAGGAATGGGGAACAAGGACTATACGACTGCAGAAATTTCAGGAATCACCAGTAGCCACCCATGCAAGCACTATTCAGGAGTCCAACGGCTGATCATCGGGGCTGTTTCCCGGACCCCACACAAGTCACACGCCTCACTGACCAGCCAGCTGTCCAAATGTCGCACGGCAACCTTCGCGGCCTCATCGGGTCCACGCATATTTGCGCGTTGCCGTCACTTAACCCTAAACCCTGAACCCTATAAACCCTAAACGCTATAAATTGGCTATAAACCCTAAACTCAAAACCCTAAACCTGAGCATCCTGGCCTGGGGCGAGAGGCCCATCTCCACCAACCGCTCTAGAGCAGCACAATGATGCCTCAGAAGCGAAAAAGGCCGCAGAGGCTAGAAATATAGGTACTTCCCAAGCTAGGGGTGCCCCTTTTATACCCCAAAGTAGAAGAAACTCCCCGGGACCCGCCAAAAAGGTACTCCCCGCCCCCTATTTTCGGAAGCCCCCATATCAACGACTGCGCGCAGGCAACGCGTCCCGTCAGGTTCTCCGGGTCTCTGGCCGCATGGTTGCATCATCTTCGCCGCTTGGGGTCGGTGTGGGCCGAGTCTGCCAAGTCTAGTTTAGGGGTTATAGGGTTTATAGGGTTTATAGGGCTTATAGGGCTATAGGGCTATAGGGTTTAGGGCCAGCTTTGGGGGATTCTTGTCCGCAGCATGCCCTGACACCCCTCCATCGGCATCGGCCTGCTTGGTGTGCACCACTGGTGGTGGCATCGGAGCTTGTCTGGAGGGCCCACCTAAGCGAAGGGTGCAGGAAGTGCCACCTGGATCCTATATCCCTTCTGAAAAACTGACAATGACGGGCTGCATGCTGCATGCAGATCGCAACTCTGGGGAAAGAACTGCCACCGCCAGCACCGCCGCCACCGCCAAGCCAAGTGGGCCTGGCGGGCGCGACGGAAAGCTCGTCCCAAAAAGCAAAAAGTGTCGAGCCAAACTCAACCCGGACACAGACTGTCACCGCAGCACTCGGCTAGTCTCGGAACAGCTTTCCAAGCGAAAGAAACTGCTGCAGACGTCATAAGATGGACTGCCCTCAAAAATTAGAAGCCCAACTCCGATTGGGGTGGTCCCGGCCTTGTGATCTTGCTGAAGGACTCCTCCATGCCGGTGAAGAACTTGTGCACCCCATGTTCCATCTGGCAGCAATGTACATAAAAAAAGGGGTCTGATTGCTTTTATATTTCCTCTCTCTCTCTCTCTCTCTCCCTCTCTCTCTGTCTCTAGTCCCCTCAGGTTGACCGAAGGGGTTGGAAATATTTCCAATCTCCCAAGCACCCGGCTTCTTTCAGGGCAGCTTCGGTCTTTGACCCTGCGTGGCACGTGGTCTGTGGCACGTGGCTTTCATGGAGGTTCTTCCGATGAGAGCTCCCGGCGTGGCCTGCCGACCTGAGGTTGAAGTCTCCGCTTCCCGTCCGCGTCCGCATGGCCTTCGAGCAGACTCGTGTGAGCTTTACAAGTACTCAGAGCAGCTCATCGAGTGGGAGAATCCGAGAATCCGAGTGGCAGTGGCGGAGGGCGCGTTGAGGCGACTTCGTTTGGGCACTGAACGGCTGCAGTCTGTGTCATGGTGCGGACATTCCAATGGCGCGATGGATGTGGCATGCGAGTGTTATGCTCCAGGCTCCAAGCGTGAACCCTTTTTCGCGACGAAGCGATCACCTCTGGTTGAACTCAGCCAAGACATCCTCCACCTTTCGGTTCTTTGTTTCCTCGGCGTCTCCGCATGCTGTTGCGCCTGGTGCCTACCAAGACCTTCTGAAGACAAGATATCACAACTCCCACTCAGGGCTCTGCTGGCAGATTCTTCTTGACGACGAAGATGCCAGCGAAAAGGACCTTGGAACGAAACTTGCGGCCTCCTGAGTCTTGAGGGACTGATGCACTCGTCGCCATCGGATCTGCAGGCAAAGGCGCCAGAACACTGGGTGCGAACGCCAGGTTCGAGCCCAAAGAGCGCTGAAGCACCTCACATCGTCGAGGGCAGCACAATATTCCGCATAAGTACTTTAGAAATATATATATATACATATATATATATATATGTATTTCTTTATTGCTCTGTTACATGAATATATTTGTACATCATCATCATATAGCACTGTTAT